ATGGACCATTGAAATCCATTGGATGATAAGACAAACTTTACAACCCAATGTTTAAGAGTTACAACGAAATGAAACGGGGTATGACCATTTTGTGATAAACTTAAACCAAAATGGTAATGTTAGGCTTATATCTAACAAAATGGACCATGTTGTTCACTTTGTGCATTGGGAAGGGACCGTACAAGTTTAGGGGCGGAACCACATTAAGGGCTACAGTGGGCTAGCTAGGCATAGAACTTTATTAAGATATTTGATGTTTAATGTGGAAGATATTTGATGTTTAATGTGGAAGATTATAGAGATGCATGTTTGATGTGTATTTACATTTTTGGCTACCAAGAGCTTGATGTGTGTTTGCATTTGTAGTTACTTTACTAAACGTTGACTTTGACCAGGAATATGCTTAGATTAATTTAGGAATTGTTTCATGCGTTGATCAGGTAGTCGATTAATTTAGGAATCTCTTTAACTTTATGCGTTTGGGTGGTCTCTTTATTTTTGTGTTCTTGCCATTTCTTCTCACTCTTTTTTTTTTCTTCCCTTTCCCGGCCGTCGTCTGGAACCTCAAGACCAAGCTAGCTACAGTCAAAGTCATGGCGTACCATACATGGAAGAGGACACCGGTTCAAAACCAATACGAAAATTTGAGTGTTATTATATCAACGTAACCCCAACGTTAATCTATATATGCTCAATATACACACCTATAAATAACAATCCAAATTTGAAGCTTGAATTGCAACACAGATTCAAAATCTGCTAAGTAATACAACAACTAGCATCAATCAATGGCATCAAAATCCCATCTTTCTCTCTTCACAATCACCCTCTTCCTCATCCTCCTGTCTCTCCTCTCATCCCATGCAACCTCATGAGTTTTCTTTTGTATTAACTAAATAGCTAAGTTAAATTTAACCAAAACTTGACTAACATTTCTGAAGATGATCTAATCATGAATAAATATTTTGTGGTTAGGTACTTGGAGGTTTTTGGTATTTCTTTTCTATTCAACGAGAGGTTTCATGCTGGCACCAATCCTGTAAAAATGCTATAAGTTGCGGAGCTACTGATTATTGCAGTGGCAGTACTTCTCGAAATATCACCTTCCTAAATGAGTTATGCCCGTCAAATCCACCAAATGCTACCGTATTTAATTTTGGAATATTTGTTGATGCCATTCAATATGGAACCACAAGATCAATGCGTTTTCCAACCAAGTTCTTTTACTGCATATGGTGGGGGGTCAGAAATCTAAGGTATGCAAATATGTATGTTAATTAAGCTATTGATAGTCTAAACGAATTTCATATACTTTTCCACTTCTAACTAAAACAGAACTTTTAAAATGGATGCCTAGTAGGATAAAAGTGGTTTAGGTATTATCAATTATTTACAAAACTATATGTCATTTTGGTTACAAGCATTTTTTTTCTCAAATAATCCCTAATTCCTAGCATTTCAAAAATCTGGAATTTATGGAACATTATTTAATTATTTTCGAAATCCCTAAAAATTCTCTAGTAAGAAAAGAGAGAGTTGAGAATGAATAGTTGTGTAGTTTTCTTCTCATTGGCACCTTTATTTTCCTATTTATGGTTACATCAATAGCGCACAAGAGACACTTTGTCTGAAGGACAGCTTGTTGGGTCCACTACAAATTTTATTTTAACAATCCAGATTATCTATTTTTCACATCTTGATTCATAAATCATCCTTGACAAATACGGTACTTCAAGAAAACATTAAAATGACAACCATTTCATTGAGTGGTAAAATGGATTCTGATTCAAGTAATTTTTTTGTAACGATGATCTTTGAAGAAATACCAAAAAAGAAAAAATAAATAAAAGGTTTGAATCATGCAGATACAATATGAATTACTCTTCCTTCTCTACCCACTATGTAGGATATATTTTCGTTTCCGCACTTCTTTTGTAATTAAGTAGATTAGTTACTCTGATATTGCCTTAGGATTGCTGTAAGGTCGGAGGCCACGTAGTTCTATTGTTGATCTGCTGGTTTGTAAACTTAAAGCATGCTGAACGTTGGGATTATAAATTGCTTTTCATGCAGGTGTAAATTTTTGGGAAATGAGAATTTACAGGGGAGACTATGCCGAATTTTCGGCAGAAGTCAAACCCTAAAGAAACTTTGGTTTTTGTTAGAAGGGCAATTTGGTTAAGTGTGTTTGGCACCTGCCAGGTGACGGACACGCACAGGGTTCGGCACAGATTCCAAAGTGGAATTTGGGTCAGGTTCTGTTAAACACACTTTGGTGGTAATATAACTTAAACTTCTGTATCTCACGATTTGTACAACCTCCTTGCTACTACTTTGACATAAATGCATATCTAATGTCCATTCGGGCAGTTTTTGTCCATCACTCCATTATGAGTGACAAGGAAATTTCCATAACATCCTCCCACTTCATCACATAAAACAAATGGGAACATGGGATGTCTTCGCTTTCATATTTCTGACAATTGCACTCTATTCGAACATTTTTCCCACCAAGGTACACTAACTCCAATTATTTTGCAGTTCACCGTATTTCGTTAAAATATACAACTGTCCTTCGAAATTATGAATTATTTTTTCATGAATGAGTGTTGAAGTAGCATTGATCTCGTTACATACCAATAAAAAGCACCTATGAGTGTAAATTTGGGAGGCAAATTGTTCAAGACTTTTCAGTGTTGTTGTAAGCACTTTTTTTTATTGTTTTGGTCAAAATCATCCTTCCCCGAGGTATTCCTCATTCGTGTTATGGCCTTATCAATTGCTAGAATGCATTCAAATAACTTAACGCATTTCCTCAAGTAATATTTCACAAAATTGTTCATACACTCCACGCATTGAGTAGTGCACATACCATCGAAAATTTAGGTATGAGGCGTGATTTGGCTCACGCATCTCGTTTTGCATACATTATTTGCAACCATTCCTTTTGTTTATGTGTAGTAACTCTGTCTTTCAAAAACTCCTATTTCTTTTCAAACTCATTGGCTGTAATTGGTTCTCAAAGATATGCTTGAAATAATCTTACCAATTATTTATCCTTTAAATTATTCTGTGCATTCCTTGCCATGTGCCGTGAGCATAACCTATGATTGCACATGGGCAATACATACTCAATTGCTTTGTGCACATTGCCTTATCCTCATCCGTCAATATTGATGTTGGCTTCTTTCCTTTCATGGAAGATATGAATGTCTCCAATAACTACTTTTATGTTCCAAAGGTCTCATCAAGCAATAGGGCACAACCAACACTCGCCCAGTGGTTGTTTGAACCAATAAATAATACTAGAGGCTTGTCATACACATTGGTTTTGTATGTGCTGTCGAATATGAGAACGTCTCTAGAGGCAACATAATCCAAAAGTGAAGTAGAGTCTCTCCAAAACAAGTTAGCAAGCATATTCCCCTCATCTACACTGAACTTACAAAAGATTTCAAGATACACTGACACTTTCCCTTTCATGTAGGCGAGTGTAGTTTCAATGTCGCTATCTAACAATATTTTCGTACGTGATGCATCCAACTTCTTCCTTAAGAATCCAAGTCCTCAGCTCATGCATTAATGGATGCTTAAATTCTACACTATATGTGGCAATCCCTTCCACCACAGGTAGCCAAAATAGATCATTTACAATATTAAATAGGAGTGCTCTAGAGAAGAAAAAACGACCAATCTTTCGACAAACTTCCTTTCTTTCTTCTTGTTTATATGCTGAATTTAATGTACTTTGTCAAGCTTCTAAAGTGACAAATCTATCCATTGGTCTTTTTTTATTTAGGTTGTTCTCTAAGAGCCTCATCAACTACAACACTCCTAGTACTAGGGATTCCATATTCTTCACCCAATGAAATTTCCATACTCTGAGCCCCTCCTCATGGATCATCCCCAATCTCTCTAAGCATTTCATTTTTCTTTCTTTTTTCAAGTTGAAATTTTTTCAAAGTTGTGATACACTCTTTATTTACATGCTCATGAACTTTCTTACATGGTTGCATATCATGATGAGTTTGACCCAAATGATATTTAAGTCTAGAAATTCCTCCACTGCATCTTTGATCACAAAATGTGCATCTCAAGTATTTTTTTCCCCCTCTATTTCTTTTGCATACTTCCACGCAGGATCTTTTTGATTCATAGCTATAAAACAACACCATTAATATTTCTAAGATACAAGTATGATGCATGTACGTCAAATTTCTACTATATCACATAAACGAATAAGATAACAAATATATTGAAAAAAAATATTATACGGAACTTCAAATTACAGTTGCGAAGAATTACAGAGAAAAATAAAATGGCTTACTTGCAGTCGAAAGATGAAGAGAATTCTTGAAATTGATGGAGATTACCTAATAAGGGTAGAAATTAGGATTGTACTATATATATAAGTTCATGTGTTAATATATTAATTTAGAAAAGAAAAAAAAAAAGAAGGTAAGTAGAATAAAGCTACAACCAGCCAGTTGGAGTATATATATAAAGCAAAAGGTAGAGAATGATGAAACATTCAAAATACTATAAAATGCCCTTGGTTAATTCAAACATTAAAAATTGAAATTATTAATTAATTGAAGATAATATTGTAAATTCACATTTTTTTTATATTTAAAAAAAATAAAAATAAAAACTCAGATAATAAATTCTACTTTTATGGAACATAACTACCCATATTATCTTTTCTTAATTCTAAAAATAAAAAAAAAAAAAACTCAGATAATAAATTCTACTTTTATGGAACATAACTACCCATATTATCTTTTCTTAATTCTAAAAATAAAATAAAAAAAAACTCAGATAATAAATTCTACTTTTATGGAACATAACTACCCATATTATCTTTTCTTAATTCTAAAAATAAAATAAAAAAGAAAAAAGAAAACCACGCATGTGCCAAGGGGATAGTTACAATAAAGGCAAGAAAATGCAATCGAAACGACGTCGTTTCATTACAGTAAACCTTAAAAAAAAAACACATGAGTCGTCTTACACGCGAGTCGTCTTCCTCGCAGAGTCGCAGCCAATTTGCAGACTCGCAAAATTTCTTCCGGTTCAGAAGCGTCCGGATCTGGCGCGCCTTGCTCCGCCTCCTCACGCCAGCCTCGGGCGATTTCCTGCCACCTCGCTCCGACGCGCGCGAAGGCATGCCTTTGAAAACTGGTAAACTGTAGATCAGTCTACCATTTAGCAGATTAGGTGGTGAAACTTTATGGAAAACATAGGCTGGTCTGCAAAAAGGTTGTTGGCTCGGTTTTTCTGTATTATGCTAAATTACAACTTGGATGGTATTCTTAACTATGTGCTAGTTATAGGTTTCGAAATTTATATGGAAAAAGTTTTTATTTCTTTCTTGTTTTAGAGTTATCTCATGCATGTATGTTGATAGGGGATAAGATATCTCTATTGACCTGATTGTTTAAAAAATGCCCGATTTTGAATTATCCGATGCTAATTAGTTTGCAACTTTGATCTCTTGTTCAGGTTCAACAATTTTTGTGCTCTAGTAATTTGAACCATGATTGCTTGTAGTTGTATAGAATGTATTTTTGAATTGCCTGAAATTTATGATTGAATTGTGATGAGGGTAGGTTTTAGTTTACATTTACTAACCCATACGATGCTTTTCTGTATAAAATATTTGGTATTTTCTATATCCATTTTCAAGAATTTGCCATTGTTGCATGCCTCAAATTTGAAGTTCCTAATTTGTAGTAACAAAAAGCTTTGGTTGGACTTGGTTCTGCTTGCCAGAAAGTTTCACCCGACAAATTGTTTATACAGTTCCATTATTTTGTGAAATTTAGTCCTGTATGAGTCCCTGCTTTTGACATTTTTCGCTTTCATAGACTTATTAAACTCTGCTCGTTGTATAAAGCTTGCAAAACAAGTGTGACAAAGATTGTCTTCTGATCATGATAGATATTTGGATAATTTAGGCAAAAAATTCTTGTCTATTGAAGAAGCGGGACAAGTTCCATTGTTTTCTTATCACTACTCTGTGTTTTTCTGTCATTGGAATAGTCGTTAGTGGTAAACTGTAGATCAGTCTACCATTTAGCAGATTAGGTGGTGAAACTTTATGGAAAACATAAGCTGGTCTGCAAAAAGGTTGTTGGCTCGGTTTTTCTGTATTATGCTAAATTACAACTTGGATGGTATTCTTAACTATGTGCTGGTTATAGGTTTCGAATTTATATGGAAAGTGTTTTTATTTCTTTCTTGTTTTAGATTTATCTCATGCATGTATGTTGATAGGGGATAAGATACCTCTATTGACCTGATTTTTAAAAAAAGGCTTCTTGTTTCATAGTTGATTCCACTTTATGCTTGACGAACTAAGCAATTACTACCTGAGCTAAAAACTCTCCCCTTGAAATAATACACAAGAGCCAACTGGCCTTTATTGTGATTTGTAATTGAGACTTTTCTCTTTGGTTCATTGGGTCATATGGTACTGACATTCTAATTTTCTTTGATAGATTTGTCAAGTCTGTCATTAACAATATGGCTGAAATGTCATCATTTATCTGAAGTTGGACCACAGGACCTTATTCTCGACACAGGTTTAAGACATCAGCTCAAAGCAGAGGATAATTCTGAGATAAAAGTTGCATTCCCAATCGAAGATGGCTTCTGAGGACAAAGATCTTGTGGAAATCTTAGAGGAGCATAACAAAATTGACATTGCCAAATATATCAATTATGTGAGTGCCCCACAGGCAGGTGCTATTGCAACATTTTCTGGAACCACACGCGACACCTTTGAAGGCAAAACAGTCTTGGAGCTTAGATATGAAGCATATGTGCCCATGGCACTACGGTGCATGAAATCCATTTGTTCATCTGCTAGATCATCCTGGAATCTCCTCGCCATTGCAGTCGCCCACTGCCTCGGCCCAGTTCCAGTTGGTGAAACAAGTGTTTTCATTGCAGTCTCAGCCGTTCATCGGGCTGATGCGTTGGATGCTTGTAAATTTGTGATTGATGAGATAAAGGCATCAGTTCCAATATGGAAGAAGGAGGTTTACAGTAATGGAGAGGTTTGGAAGGAGAATACAGAGTTCCTGGAGCGAAGGCTGGATCTTGGGAAAAAAGATGAGATATGGAATGAAAAAGAAATTGAAGTTGAAGTTGAGAGGCATACTAGGAAGAGCTGTTGTGGGGCCAAGGTAAAGGTCATTGAGGAAGGAGATGAAAAATGAAGCAGAGCAAAGCTTCTATTTATTTATTTATGTTTAGGAAAGATTTTCTATGTCATAATGAAATGTAACTCTTTAAAAACTAATAATCTTCTTTTTATATAATAAGAATAGGAACCTGGAGGTAAATTTGGCAATTCATTTCTCTTTTTGTTGGTTACTCTATGATCTGCTTGCTTGAACAACTCTGCTTCCGAGTTTTGGTTATTTCTTCAGACAAGTTAATTTCAGGACATGTCCAATCAATTTCACCCTATATGTTCTCTGATAGAATTAGCTTCAGAATGCGTCAGTTCCAAGAAATATTATCTGCTCTGTTGGAAATTTCTCACAAATGTACAATAGGGTTTAAAGGATTTAATTAGTAAAATCCTGGAAATAATGATTTGGTTCATAAGATTTCTAATATTCCTTTCTAGGTAGCTTTCTCTGTGGACCAGATACATTATTAGCTTGGAATTCTTCTTGTAAACAAAAATAAAATCGGGCATGGTGGTTTAGGAATTAAAAACCTACAAAAATTTAACTAGCAAAATTGGATAATGGGACGGTTAGTTACTTGACTTGAGACCTAATTCTTTCTTTCAAGTATTTTCAAGCTGCAAAACTTATGCTAAAAGGAATGAGATGAGAAATATATTAAATTATGGACGTTTGCATATTTCTGCTTTCCTTTGATGTATGGAGACACATGAAGCTGAAGCAATTGGTTAAAGGGAAGATAAACATCATAGAACAAATCCATTGACACACAAAGACCAGACCAAGAACTTTGTGGCATTAGCATTTAAAGGAATATCGAAAATATTACAAAGAAAGAATGCTGGGCTGTAAGTCTGTAACAACAATAGCAGCCAACAGCTGCGGATCATAACAGCAAAATGATCTCCCATTCCCATACTTCTAACTAGAGGAGCCAGTTAATCATGGCCATCAGAATACAATAATATCATGGTGGTTTATTTGGCGGAAAGGTTACCGCCGGGCGGTGAAAGAAGAGCCACGGCATCATGCTCTGGGCTGCAGAACTTGTTATAGACTGCCTTGAGCTTACTCTCTGCAGCCGCGGAATGAAAAGTGTGCAACAGCTTTGCGCAGTCCCTGTTCCAGTAGAATCCAGAGTACAAAGGAAAATAAAAAAGATCAACTAAATGTCACAATAATTAGTAAGTACAAAAATTTATGAGTTGTAAATTGTGAAAGGCTCACATCAGCTCATCTTCAGAATAGCCAGTATGATGTTTGAGAGTCTCAGTCCAGAAAGGGGTCCTGTCAAGGGTGCATCGAGCAACATAAACAGCCGAAGCAGCCATCATTGAAGGGCAGTAGAGAATCGTAGCAGAATAGTCCATCAGACCCAGTTCAGCCAGAAAATACACCATATTCTCCATCTACATTTTATTATCACCACCAAACAAAAAATTAAAAAAAATTCAATCAAGTCAAATTGTTAAATTCAGGTTTTCACCATGGACTTGAATATCCATGAACCTCAAAAATCACATACCAACTCGTCATCAGATGGAGCAGATGATGCTTTGATATAGCGCACCAGGAAGACATAAGTTGTAGGAACTGTTAGGCACCATCCCAGCTTACCCAAGATTGCTTTCTCCATCACCAACACCTTTTCTTTACCATAAGCATTGTCTGAAATGCAGACAAAGTCGTTGACCTGCCCATTTTAACAACCAAAACCCAAGATTAATATTCAAAATTAAACCCACATGCAAGATACACAAACAAACAACAATTGCTACCTCTGGTGCCCAAATTTCTTCATATTTGCTTGCAAGAAGCATTGAGCTGATGCCAACTAACTGAAGCTCGCTCCTTGGTACAACTTTAACCGAAAGGAATCGATCGACAAGGTCTATGGTAAGATAGAGGGTTTCTGGCATGAGTTCAAATTTGTGATGAACTTCTATCAACCAGTCTACAAGGATTGATCTCATCTTGGGATTTATTTCTGGCTGTAAAGCCATGTACTCGTGCACGCGATTCTCATCCTGCATCCATCAGAAGGAAGCATAACAATACAATATGAGAAAGTGACAGAGAGACAGAAAGAGAGAGGAGTGTAGAGTTCAAGTCAATACTTCTGTGAGCTTGTAAAACTGGTAGATTTCATCCAAATATTCAACTACTGCCAACTCATTATCGGCATCAGCTGCATCAATGTCCACTTTTGGATCCTTTGGCTTACTAGTGAGTCCACAAGCAGCCTGTGAGAAAAGCAAACTCAGTGGACAATACAACAATGCAGAGCAAAAGTAACAATAATTGAGCCACCAAAAATGAAATTTACTTTGCTTCGGGCGCTGAGAATTGATGTAAAGGCCCTGGCATTCTTCCTTGAGGCTCCTTCTCTAGATTTCCTTCCACTAACAGCATTCTTCTCCTTTACAGCTGCCAGAGCTTTCTTTGCAGCACCGGATTTTCCAGCCGTCAGCCCCCCATTAATTACTTCTACGACAGGTTTCTGCAAATTACAATAGCCAAACATTGTGATAAAGTGAGATAGTAAATTCTAAGACTTCATTGAGAAGAAGAATAAAAATAAAAGTAAAATAATTAAAAAAGTTTTGGATTGGATTGGTACCTTGTTCTTCTCTAATGGGGCAGGAAGCTTAGCATGGATCTTCCCTTGGGCAGCAGGAGCAGTTACTACTAGGTTACTAATGTCTTGAAGAACTTGCCTATTTTTCCCCTCTGCTGCTACCTTCTTCTGCTTGCCTTCCTCTAAAATACCATTAAACTATCAGTTTTCACATTGAAATGGGCAAACAGACCGCATCAAACAAAAGTTCAAACGAATGAATCAACCATTTGTTAGGACACAACAGAAATGATAACACAAAATCAATGCTAGCTCCCATGAGATGGACCAAAAATTACCAACGCTTACTTAGGAGGTCAGAACATAAAAAGAAAAATAATCATGAGGTGGATGGAAATAGCCAACAGAAAGTTTTCAAAAACTACACAAGGACAAGGAATTGAATAAAACATTCTAGTATAGCGACATATGAACAAAATTCCCAAAAAAGAAAAAAAAACATTTCAAAAATTGGAACTTGATCAGTAAAACCCACAGAAAACAATAATGAACGGATCTCTATTTTTTCTATCAAAGCAAACAAATATGCCCAAAAGAACCAATCAAAGAAGAACTTAAACTAAGCACATTGGTACCTCTTTGTAGTTGGTGAGGCCCAACAACAACGGCTCTGGAAGCCATTTCAAGATCTTGATTTTCTTGACCGTTACTGCCAAAAACTCCTCCTAGACTCGAAAACAACGACGACAAGAACACCTGGAGACGACTGTTCCGCGTCTCTCCTTCTTCCTCGGCGTTAATGGTCGCCACTTTCTTCAGTTCAGCCCCTCTTTCTCTCTCTCTCTAAAATTCCTTTCGACTGTCGCTTTCTCTTTCTCGGGAATTTGGGATTTTCTGAAGTTTTTGTCAGACTCTGGTTGTGATGATTCTTTTTGAAGCTGCGGAACCGACTTTACTTCCAACGGTCTAATTCTCATCAACTTATAGCCGTTGGATTGATGTGAGATCTAACGGGTATGATCCCCTTAAGGATTTGTTAGTTCCTGCTGTTTTGAGTTTGGAATTTTCTAGCCGTTGGTGGTGGAGCGGGCTTCCTCCAGTGGCTGGGTGGGTTTTCCTTTACACAAAGAAAGAGCCCAAAGATCGCTCAAAAGAGGCCAAAGATCGCTCAAAAGAAACTCAGGCCCATTTGGTTCGTGGATTAAACTTCTTGAGAATAAACTTCCCATGTATAATCCCACGAGATGGGAATGGAAGATGTCCATTCCCATGTTTGGGAACGCTGGGAAATGAGGACTAGGAAATGTCGTTTTCTCCCATTTCCATGTTTCGTTTGTACAATATTAGGAATGAAAAGTTGATCAGTTTTCCAACTATACCTTTTGATTTTTTTATTATTAAAAGTTATTAATAATAGCCCTTTTGGCACATGCTCACACGTGCGCCAATTGGTTTTCTTTTTTCTTTTATTTTATTTTTAGAATTAAGAAAAGATAACATGAGTAGTTATGTTCCATAAAAGTAAGACCTATTATCTGATTTTTTTTAAAATTTTAATATGAAAAAAAATATGAATTTACCATATTATACTCATTTAATTAATAATTTCAATTCTTAATGTTTGAATTAACCAATGGTATTTTCTGGTATTTTTAATGTTTCATCATTCTCTGCCTTTTGCTTTATATATGTAGATGAGGAGTTTTTTAAATGGTCAAAAGTAGTATTTTAAAATAATAACATTGGTCTATCGCCTTTGACTCAAAATAAAATAAAATAACATGGGTAAGTTAGTCCAAAAAAATTGCATTAAATACTTTCCCAAGTGAGGGAAAAAGTTTCCCAAGGTGAGCCAAGGGTATGAACTTCCCCCTTATACTTACCCATGAGTCCATAATTGCATTCCCAAGAGTGCACCTACCAAACATGGGAATGCAGTTTGAAACCTATTCCCAATCTCCTAAACCTTGAACCAAACAGGCCCTCAAGATAAAGCAAGAAGACTGTGGGAGTAAGAAATTAATCCACTAGCACCCTAAACTAAACTTGGGGAAGTGGAACTACAATCAAGAAACATGTTTTCCCAATTTCTATCCATGATCACACATGAATAAAATCATGAGATTGATGGAACTTGACGACAAAGGCCTACTAAGGCAAACATGCCTATGCCCATAAACAAATGCAAGCATGTTTTATGTCACATGGCAAAGCCTCCATGATCATCCACTACCATGCCCATGATGGAGTCATTGTGAATCAAGGAGAAAACCAAGAAACATGAGACTTTAAGCCCGAAAGTCAAATGCCTATAAAAGGCCAATTAACTCACCAGCAGAAGGAGGGAGAAAAATCTACAATATTATTCATGAGTAATCAATTCCTGCCAAAAGATTTCCAAAGAAACCTACATACCCTAATAATATGAACCAAAACTTTCATGGATCCTTGTAGTATTATTATTGATTAAAATCATCTAATGAATGCTAATAAATTATTTTTCTCTTTTATTTAATGTCCAACAAATTGACCACTTAATTAGCGATGAAATTGTCTAAGATTAGTATTATTATTATTTTGGATTTGTTTGATTTATTTTTATATGAAAATGGGATGTAAATTCAAAATTGATCTTATAGGCCTAGTGGTGAAAAGGACACTATTCCTCGGAAAATAAGACCACAAAATGTTAGTACTCATGAAGAGGATACTTAAGTATTAAAATATAAGTGCTTTTTATTGGTATGTAATGAGATCACTGTTTCGTGAGCACTCATTCATGAAAAAATAATTCATAATTTTGGAGGACGGTTGTATATTTTAACGAAATACGGTGAACCGCAAAATAATTGTAGTTATGTGTACCTTGGTGGAAAAGATGTTCGAATAGAGTGCAACTGTCAGAAATATGAAAGCGAAGGCATCCCATGTTGCCATTTATTTTATGTGATGAAGTGGGAGGATGTTATGGAAATTTCCTCGTCACTCATAATGAAGTGATGGACAAAAACTGCCCGAATGGACATTGTATATACATTTATGTCAGAAAGTGGTAGTAAGGAGGTTGTACAAACCGCGAGATACGGAAGTTTATTGTATTGCCAACAAAGTGTGTTTGTATGAAAGAGGACAAATGGGTATAATATTATTCATAAATTTTTCTTATTAAAATAAATTAATGTTCAAAAGGCTTACGCCTCGCATAATGAGATTAAAACGCCTCACATCAATGCCTCGCCTTTCAAAACATTGCAGTTTACCACTAACCACTATTCCAATGACAGAAAAACACAGATTAGTGATAAGAAAACAATGGAACTTTTCCCGCTTCTTCAATAGATAAGACTTTTTGCTTGAACTATCCAAATATCTATCATGACCAGAAGATAGTCTTTGTTGCACTTGTTTTGCAAGCTTTATACAACGAGCAGAGTTTAATAAGTCAATGAAAGCGAAAAATATCAAAAGTAGGGACTCATACAGGACTAAATTTCACAAAATAATGGAATAGCATAAACAATTTGTCACGTGAAGCTTTCTGGCAGGCAGAACTAAGTCCAACCAAAGCTTTTTCTTACTACAAATTCGGAACTTCAAATTTGAGACATGCAACAATGGCACATTCTTGAAAATGGATATAGAAAATACAAAATATTTTATATAGAAAAGCATCATATGAGTTAGTAAATGTAAACTAAAACCTACCCTCATCACAATTCAATCCTGGAAGGCTCAAGAAAAGAAAATTGTAGAAAGCATCATAAATTTCAGGCAATTCAAAAATACATTCTATACAACTACAAGCAATCATAGTTCAAATTACTAGATCACAAAAATTGATGAACCTAAACACGAGATCAAAGTTGCAAACTAATTAGCATCGGATAATTCAAAATCGAGCCAGTATTCGTTGACTTTATGACTTGTTTGCTTTGGGCAGGGGTATTTTAGCAATTCTCTTCTCTATCTTCTCCTTCCTGGTTCGTGAGGATGGAAAAGGGGTTAGGGTTTTCATTTTCCTAGGTTTCTGATTGAGTAGAAGGAGAAGAAGGGTTAGAAAGAGAAGAAAACTCACCTTGCAGCCGCTACACCAAAGGAGAATTCGTTGTCGAATTTTCTTACCAAATTACTTCTCTCCTTTCTTTTCCATTTTCTGATTTTCTTCTTCTCCTAGTGAGAGCTTTTGGGAAAAGAGAAGAAATGCAGAAAAAAGAATTAATTCTTATTCATTAGCGGAACATGAACAAAATGCCTGACAATAGTCCCAAGTTCTACACAGGGTCAAGCCAAGCCAATGATGGACGAAAATCAAGGAAAAAGGAGGATATGTTTGAGTCGGTCTGAAAACTCTCCGAAGTTCTTTAGATGTTTTAATTAATGGGTTAATTACAGTTTAGTACCTTGTAATTACACTCTTAAGCCCCGTTTGGTTTATGGGAAAGGAAGGTTGGGGATGAGAAATCAATTGCTTTCCTATGTTTGGTAAGTCAGGCATGAGAAATGTTTGGTAAGTCTTCAATTGCTTTCCCATGTTTAGTACCTTGTAATTAAAAATTGATGAAACAACACATGAAGAGGCATATGTGGGGGCAAGGAATTTCCGTAACCACTCCGGTGACACCACATGGAAGATGGAATATTCCCTAGGTCATCTTGATTTTGCCTATTAAATCCCCATTTAAATTGGCCTATCGATTTGATTTCATATGGGAAATATCTACATAAGGCAAGGATTCAAATTGAATTAAATCTCCTTAATCTCCTCCATCTCCTTATTTATGGAAATGAATAATTCCCTTGAAAAAAAAGAATTATTCTCCCATAAATCAAACCAAACAAGGCACATGATGACATTATTTCACATTTGTCTGGTCAACATATATTTGATCAAATCTGTCTTAGCAATGATATAGATGGTGAAAGGTAGCATATAATGTTTGAGCTTGACAACAACAAAAAACAAGGCCTTCAATTGCAGAATATCTCTTTTCCACTTATGTTAGAGTTCTGCTCAGATAATAAACAGCCTACTCCTTCCCTTCTTTGTTGTCTTGACCCAGAAGACTTCCAATGGATACCTCAGAAGCATCAATGTATCATTTGAGTGGCTTGCCTCTCTTTGAAAGGGGTCAGAATTGGTGGATTGGCCAAGTGCTGCTTGATCTTTTCAAAGGCTTTTTGATGATTGTCTTCCTATCTGAAATCCTGCTCTTGCTTTTATTTCAACAACGAAGAAAAAGGCTGAATTTTCCTTGCTAAATTGGAGATGAATCTTCTAAGAAAATTGATCTTTCCTAAGAGACTTCGCAATTTCTTCTTGTTTCGAGGAGGTGAAGCTTCTATGATGGATTTTGCTTTGTTTTTATCCACTTCAATACCTCTTTGATGAACCAAGAAGATTCCCCACTCTAACCCTTAATGCACATTTTTTTGGATTCATCTTCAATTGGTGCTGCCTCATTCTTAGAAAAACCTTTCTCAAGTCAGTCACATGATCTGGCCTTTCTCGAGACTTAATGACCACCTCATCAATGTATACTTCTAAGAAATGACCTATCATCATATCATGGAATATAGAATTCATGGCTCTTTGATAGGTAGCACCTTCATTTTTCAATCCAAATGACATCACAACATATTCAAAAGCACCTATATGCCATGGACACATGTAAGCTGTCTTGTGAATATCTTCTTCAACCTCCGTTATTTCATTATATCCAGCATTCCCATCCATGAATGACAAGATCTGATTATGGGTAGCTCCATCTATCAATATATCTACCATTGGCATGGGTACTAATCTTTTGGAGTTGCCTCATTTAGATTTCTATAGTCCACG